TTACGTAAAAATTGAATTTCGCAAGTAATCGAATGCAATTAGTAGTGTTATACCTAAAAACTGAATTTCCCAAGTAATCAAATGCAATTAGTAGTGTTACGTAAAAATCGGATGTCCCAAGTAAACGAATGCAATTAGTAGTGTTACGTAAAAAATAATTTCGCAAGTAATCGAATGTAATTTGCAGTCTTACGTAAAAATTGAATTTTGCAAGTAATCGAATTTTAAGATTAAATAACCTCATGAAAATCCAACTCTATTTTTATCGGAGTAACCAAACAACATATATAGTTCAATTATTTAATTAATCATGGCTAATCTTACCAACCGAATGTTGGCTTTAACTTCTTATCACCAAAACGGTGATTCTTGAAAACGTTACAAAAAAAAAAGTCTCAACAGAACGAACATTTTCAACGACACTAACTGGCCTCGTAATAATAGGCGTAAATTTTTCGATAATATCCTCAAAATTAGGGAAAACCATAATATAACGTACCTGATGATTTGCGAGGAGTTCAAGAATCGCAAGCACAATGTCGTTCACATAGCAAAAACCCGAAGCCCCGCATTTCTTGGCATGGTGCAGCCCGCCCGCCCAATTAACTGCGATATCCGAAAGCCCGTTATTCAACCGAACCGCTCCGGAAATCGACCCGCCCGCATAGCTCCGGCAGTAGGAGTAAAGGCCGTCGAAAACAGGGCAATCAAACGCTCCCAAATTGAACCTCTTCAGCTGCAATAAATGCTCCTTCTGATTTTCCGGAGTGACTCTTTTCAAGAAATCCACGTAATCATCGGCATGGAAACTGTGAAGATCCGTTTCTCGAGCTGGAACGGGTTTGAATACTTGCATGTGTTGGAGTACATCGTAATTTTTTAGGAGAGAGAAAGTCATCGCCGTTCTGTATGGCCTCATCGGGTTGGCAATTCCGTAATAGTAATTTCCGATATCGGGATCGTGGAAATAGCACACTTTTCGTTTCGACCCGTCTGGTCCGGACGGCCAAGAATTACCGGCGGTATACATTTTTTTTATTAAACTGTTTCTTCCAAATGTATAACTTTTAC